GGGGTTTGTTAACCAGAAGGAAAACACATTGTTTTTGCTTCTTCTTCCTCTTCTCCAAACAACTAAGGTCAATGACTTGAACCAGACGTCTGTCACCATGGTAACAAGTAATGTAGCAAAAACCTGTGGTGTTGGGTTACATTATGTAGCAGAACAGAGTTGGAGAGGCGGCTCACCATACATATGAATGTATATGACTTTGAGTAAGAATAAACAGTGTAGTTTGTTGAGCTAGACCAAGTGAAGGTAAACATTATGCATCTGCTTTGCAAATGTTACCTTTCTAGTTTTTTTTAATTTTTTTATTCCAACATGTAATCACCAGACGTGATGACGACACACTCAAGTTTTTTCAACTTATATTAATGCCGCCAACAACACAGGGGACAAATACATTCTAGTTTTATTTTGTTTTGTTTTATTGTGACGTTTGGATGATTTATTTGGTTGTTTTTCTCATGTGTGTACACAGATCAGTCTAAACACCACGATTAAGCAGTTCTACCGTGACGTGCTGGGTGAGGAGGGGATGTACGCCACCTTCAGGTGTTCGGGCGCGTCTCTGCTCATCGCGGGCCGTCCACAGGCGCCCTCTAGCGGCTCAGGATGCAAGTTCTTCTGCGGATGCAACGACGTCCGGGTGGACCTTCAAGGAAAGGTAAGACTACTTCGACAAGTCAATTGTTGCCTTCGTCGAGAAGGCTATGAAATCACTTTGCTATAGTGTGGAGGCACAACTATTGAAGGCATGGTTCGATGTTCATGATTTTTGGCAGGCGGGTTACCGTTAGAGAGACCAAGGTCAAGTTCAAAAATGGGCTTCGTGGGGGTCCCTACGTCACTGCAGTGGGGCTTTTGTGTTTGTCGTTTTATTGTTAACAGGATAGTTTTCCGGTATACCTCAGTGGTGGAACCAATAGTCAGTCAAAAGATGATGGCCGGACTCTATGTAAAGGAATTTTTACTAAAGTTCTTTTAACAAATAAAGTAACAGAGCTCTAACAACTACGTTGGTGAAGGTAAGACATCTAGGTACTATACGCCAAAAAGCAGTTACTCAACAAGCAACTGGGTATGATTTTGGAAACGGTCAGACGTTTCAGCTAGTATCCACTAGCTTTCATCAGTAACACTCAGGAGACTTGTCAGAAAGGCAGGTTTATAAGCACGAACTATTGATTGATATGTAAGTGAAGACAAATTTTTTGGAAGTCCAAAAGGAAACAACTATAACAACTGTTTTTTTTTCCCGCCAGGTTGACTTGATAGAATTCTCCAGCCCCCGGGTACTTCTGGAGAGGCTGGCCGGAAGACTGTCGCAGCCGGTCCCGCCCCCCATGCCTCCCGCCCAACTCATGGCGCCGCCCCCTTACTCCCCATCACCGCAGGGATACATGCAAGGTCAGTTGTTTGTTTGTTTGTTTGTTTGTTTGTTTGCTCCTTTATTTATTTTTCTACGGTACTTTTAAACAATTGCGCCCACCATGAGATACTAAAGGGTTAATGCCCCAGCCCGAGGTGTACATAATGAGATTATACCTGGTCAGGTGCGATAAGGTCAGCAGGTGGTCGGTTATTCTAATAACCGACCACTTTTCAGGTTATGGCCTGATAATCGATTGGAAATGGAGCCTTCTGATTGTTTGACGTTTTCTGGCTATATGATAATAGTAGTTTAACATCTCTCCCAGAAAAAGTATAATAACTTTGATTGAAATAAAGTTGTATGTACATGTATGCACAACAAATCGCCTCAACACAGAGCAAAAATGATGATAACTTTCTTGAATTAGAGTTCGGTTAAGCCATCTTGCAATTCATTTTTTCTTCCAAATTGCACGATGAATTTAAAAAAAAACAATTCCATGTACTTATTCCCAACAGAAGCTCCGCCGCCGTATCCAGGCAGCCCGACCACGCCTAACAACCCCTTGGCCAATCAGCAGGCCTATATCGACATGTCACGGATATCAGCTGTGAACTCGTCACAAGGGAATAACACCCACACTGAGTCGGACACGGCAGGTCTTCTAGAGTGATACCTGTAATTATGATGTGATGTACTTTGTATACTAGTACCAACTTACCCTGGGTGCCAGACAAGTTTACGGACCGCTAACCGTTTCCTGCGGCAGCCAGAAGCCCTTCGCCCGCAGACCTAAATTACCGCTGCGGTGGAATTGAGCCCGTGGGAAGTATTCGTTTGTAGGGCCAGACAAACTCCCCCCGGGCTAGACTCCCCCGTAGCGATAAATTTACACCAGCGGGCGAAGGGCTCTTGCTGCCCGGAAAACGTTTGGCTTCCAGGGTAATACCAACTGCAAATAACTAATTCGATAAAGGGCCCTGGATAACTGTTATCCATTCCAGATGTGTATCATATATCATTGAGAAAAATGTGTGCTAACTTTTATTGGTTGTTTTTTTGTCTGTTAAAATTACCAGTTTCGTACACTGTAGCACGTCGACAGAACATACTGCACCTGCGGGAAACCCGTAATATATTGTGCATAGCACTTTAGCAGAATGTCTCGTATAAGGTCGTATTCGCGTGTATAAGGTTAACATCCCGTCTGTAGTTTCCAAATGTTATGTCGGAAAAGAAATTGTCTCCAACACGCAAAATTCTGATGCGACGTTAACCAAACAACGAAAACCGTAAAAAAATCAGGGTTTTGTGCAGGCGCCGTACTTTCTGCCGACGTGCTAAGTTTGGTGTATTTTTAGACACGAGGAAACTCTATCAATGTGCCGCTTTCACTTATATAATTATGATATGATATGCATCCATACATATGTATATTTGTACATAAAGGTAGCTTGTCTTCAGTATCACAAAATGCTGCATGATACACCAACCGTATGGCAGTAGCCTAGAAAGTATTTTTGGCGACGCCTCAAGAGGGAGCCTAATGGTACAGGGCTGTGTGCAGTTTGCAAGAATTCTAGGAATTGTACAGGAATTTTATCCACAGGAATGTCTCGAAGCTCTGGAATTTTGCTGACACACATCTGTGCCCACAGTCTTACTTAGTGAAATTCCTGGAAACCCTTGGGAAAACCTTTTGTAGGGATGTCCTGCTTTCCCAGGGCTCGTTCATTATACACCCAGGGGAGGGTAGGAGTGGTCCCTTTCTACATGTTATTGTAACGAAGCTAGTGTCTGTCGTACTAAGTTGTTTATTTATTTCTTAATAATGATCGCAACAATTCTTTATAACCACCCTCTTCAATTCAACGTATATGATATTACTATTATATATAACGTTACATTTAAGGAATTGCACAAAATCATTGGGCAAATGAAAATCATTGCAAATTTTTCATACTCGTTGTTAAAATGACTTTTAAATCCAGAGAAACGAAGAGACTACGACGGTATGTTTTTGATAAAACATATCCTGCTATTTGTAAACAAAGAGAACCTACAAAGTAGGATGTGTTCGGTAGACATTAAGAACAACACGTGCATGTATATATGTCATAAGTGTCTAAAAATGACCCACCAAAGGTGGACAATGTTCATGTCAAATTCATACCAATGACGATGATATAGAATGTATAAATTGTAAATATTATGCGGACAGCTAGGTTGGGAATTTTTTACTGATATTGAAATTCTATACAATTGAAGATCGTTGTTAATGAGATTAAGATCAGTTTAGGCAGAGAATGTTGTCAGCAATAAGCTTCCTGTACAACTATAAGAAATAATTCTTATGTTAAAAGATGTATTAATCTGTGATGGGTCTAAATGTACCATAGAGAATCATACAGTACTTCAATGACTGATAATCTTTTGTGCTATAATAAAACAATAAAACTTTCTAAAACAAGTGGTCGACTTTCTTTTTGTCAATCTATTACAATTTCATTCGCCCCCCCCCCCAGAACTCGAGAACGATATATCGTATGAAATGGTCCGCCATCTTGGATTTTGGCCAATGACGTCATCAAATTAGCAAATTATGCATAATTATTGATAAAAATTACATGTAATTATATAAGATATTATTAATATTAATATTAATATTAGAAAGCATGTGTCAACATAAAAGCCTGAAAATTCCATTAAGTCAAAATTACTGATATTTGCAAAAAATGCCTGTCAGAAACCCGTTGCCATGGCAACACGAAAAATTATTAATTTATCTCACTGCTATGAAATTAATGGCAACAATATTTTGGAAAAAGTCACCAAGTTTGGTGGCCCTACCACAAGCCGTTCGGACGTTATCCGACATCAAAGTTGGCGCGGGCAGTTTCAGCCCCTCTCCCCCAGTCTAGATAGGGTTAACAGTAGGAATACAAATGTCACAATGTCTTAATCGCACACTTCTTTTCTATGCCTTCTAAGTCTTACAGTCAATGCTTCAATATGCCAATTGCCATTGCCTGTGTTAAAATTTTATGGCATGATATGTCATGGTTGTGATTACATATTAATTATATACAAATATTAAGGCAGCTAAGGTTCTGCAAAAATGCATGTGTACTATTATGTCATTAATGATTTTAAATTTGTATTATCTTGTCCTACAAGTTATGTACACGCACAAATCCACATCTGAAAAATTTGTAATAATCAATTTGTATTAGCAATAATTCAAAATCTACAGATGCCGAACTATTTTGATAAAAGTCTGCTTACCTCTATAATGATCACTTTCAATCTGTTTTTATTCAAGTTCAAGCCTCCTTCAAACCTCAAGAAAAAATTGAAATATAGAGCGCGTATTGGCGCGTAATATAGAAAAAGCATACAGTATCTGAGGACGTATTATATCTTATTCAAATTCTAGCGTCCTGTCAGAAAAATTATAATCATAGGGCGCGTAATATAGAAAAATCATACATCATCAGTACGTATTATATCTTAAACAGTGTGAAACTCCTCGAGTGTTTGTTCCCTACAATAGTCCAATAAAAGAACATAGACAATTATCGTTCAATTATCTGCAATTCAAAATAGTTCAAAGTTTGTTACACAGAAGTGTCGTGAAGAAGGAATCCCTCCCTTGACTGGCTTTTAAAGAATGACTCGGTTTTTATCCGAATCTTTGTTTTTGTTGGATCGGCTTTGCTTGAATCAATAACCTGGTGTCCAATCTATCGTGGTTGGGGCGGATTTTCTTCGGGGCTGCTGAAGCTCTTTCCCGCCCGACTCAGCTAGGTTCCCCTGTTAGTTTTTTCACAAGGGGAGATCGATTCCTGACGTGCAAAACTCCTACAGGCGTAACACTCCTACCGGACGGTCTGTTGAGCTGGGCGGGGGAAAACTATTAGAGCCCAGAAGACAGCCTGCCCCAACCACGACTGGATACCAGGCTATTGAATCATGCATATGGAGGTAAAAGTGTGTGATTTTCTACCTCCGTGATTGTACCCTGGAAGCCAGAACTCGTTTTCCGGGCCGCAAGAGTCCTTGGCACGCTGGTGTAAATTACCGCTACGGGGGAGTCTAGCCCGGGGGGAGTTTGGCTGGCCGGACAAACCCCTCGGGCTCAAGTCCCCGTAGCGGCAATTTAGATAGGCGGGGAAGGGCTCTTGGCTGCCGAAGGAAAACGGCTAACGGCCCGATACTAGTTTTGGCATCCAGGGTACCATGATTGAATCAATGGAATTGTCCTTATTTTGGACGCTTGCAGATGTAAGGATACTTCCAGGAGCAGGTATTATCGTTCCACTGTCCGCGCTCACTCCACCGGAGGATGATCCACTTCTTCCCGGTCTGTATTTAACATAAAAGACGTCACATACACACAAACAGGTAGGTTAAAGTCATCCAATGCAAATTCAGGGCGGCAAAACTGGATTCTGAGAGTCTATTTTAATTTCTGATCATTCTTTCAGTGCAGCACTACTAAGCTGAATCAACCCTATCCCAAAACATACTGGCTGCAAAGCAAATACATAATGTTTACCTTCGCACGTGGTCTGGTCTGTTAATTCTCACTCAAACACATACATTCACATAGATGGTGACTGGAGTCTAAATCCCACTTACTATAAAATTGCAACATTTTGTAACCCAACACCAGTTACCATGGTGAGGGACAGGTCAGAGGTCAGTGTGTGGAATGGAAGAAGAAACAGCAAAAACAACATGTTTTCCTTTGGTAAACATAACTACACAATGACCTCCACCGTGTAAGAAATCTTCTTCTGATTTTCCCATCTCCACATTTAATAACGAAAGTTAGAAATGTTGTTTTGGTGCACTCTCTGAGGAAGGACTTGAAGAAAGGACTAGTCTATTGATAGACTAACCTAGTATCCAGTCTATCGTGGTTGTGGCAGGCTGTCTTCGGGGCTCTACAGCTCAACAGACCGCCCGGTAAGTAGGAGTGTTACGCCTGTAGGAGTTTGCACACCGGGAGTTGATTCGCCGTGGTGGGGCTAATTCAACTCCCGTCGTGTAGAACCCTACCGGGGAACCTAGCTGAGTCGGGCGGGGAAGAGCCCCTGCCGCCCCGAGGAAAACCCGCCCCAACCACGATAGACTGGACACCAGGCTATTGATAGAGACATATAAAGCAAAAACAGACCTCAGAGTACACGCCGCCACAATTCTCTCCCTTTCCCCAAGAGATTAATTTGTTGTTGTTAGGTTCGTGGGGAGCCCAGTTGGTGTAGGTAGCTCGTGATCCGTCAGTCCACTTCCACTGGTCACCTTCCCGAAGTAGTCCGAGCCAAACAAACGGTACATGGCCTCTAGGAGCTACAATCAAATGGTAACCGTTAACATCTAGAGACTTGTCAGTCAGTTAGGTTTACTTGAAATAGATTTTGAATTGACGGAGATCTTTCTTCATAAAGTTCTGCATAAGGTTTGCGCCTGGCAAACAATTCTGACATTTACAATTTCTCGTAAGTCGCTGCTCTAATGTTAAATGTTAAACAAGAGTCTTTGTAAATGTTTTTTATTTGTCTCATTGACAATGGAAATAAGGTCATAATTAGCATAATCTAGTTTAATTTATGGTTTTGTAAATTCAAATGACAATACTTTTATATTGTAAAATTCCTCTACTTTGTCATACTTCATTTCAACATGTCCTCATTAGTTATGCAAATGTCACCCAAAAGTCAAGACCATAGCATGTTCAGGACAAAAGATACAAAAACCGAAAGTTCTGCTGCAGTACCAAGGTCAGACACCAGGAGGCCCATATTTGACCCTGACCTTTGTCTTCCCAAGACATACCAACATACCAAATATTATCACAATACATAAAGGCGTTCTGAAGTTATGCTGACTACAAATGTGCGGAAACACAAACACACACACAGACAGACACGCCAAAAACAATACCTCCATTTTTCATGGAGGTAATTAAAAACCTATGAGAGGTTAACATCCATCTTGTGACGTGAATATGTAAAGTTTAACATACATTTTGTACTTTACTCACCGCCAACGACTAGCTCTTTTATGAAGTTGTTCTCTCCTTGGTCCCTGACAGAAGCCAGCTTTGCGTCGAGACGCTCACACGCCGACTTCGCTGTAGTCCAGCAGACTTTGTCTTTCATCAACTTGTACCAGTGGTTGTTATACTGCC